AGGTACAGCCCCACTTCCAGCCATCCCCAGTAGGCACCATCTTGGATCAGGGCACCTCAAAGGTACAGCCCCACTTCCAGCCATCCCCAGTAGGCGCCATCTTGGATTGTTGTTCTTGTTGGGTGCCCTCGAGTCATTTCCGACTCATAGCTACCCATACTCATAGTGAAACATTGCCCAGTTCTGCACTAGCCTCACACTCTGTCGGTGCATCTCATTAGGAGTCTTCCTCTTTTTCACTGACCCACCACTTTACCAAGCATAGTGTCCTTTCCCAGGAACTGGTCCCTCCTGAGAACATGTCCAAACCAAGTCTTCGCATCCTGGTTTCTAAAGAGCATTCGGACTCTACTTCTGCCAACACAGATTTCTTTGTTTTTTTGGCAGTCCATGGTACTTTCAGTATTCTTCACCAACACCAGAACTCAAATGCATCAGTTCTTCTATTCACTGTCCAACTTTCAGGTGCATATGAGGCAGTTGAAAGTATCATGGCTTGGGTCAGGCGCACCTTAGTCCTCAAACTGACAATTTTGCTCTTCAACACTTTAAAGAGGTCTTGTGCAGCAGATTTGCCTAATACATCATCTGATTTCTTGACTACTGCTTCCATGAATGTTGATTGGGGATCCAAGTAAAATGAAGTCTTTGACAACTGAATTCAATCTTTTCTCCATTTATCACAATGTTATTTATTGGTCCCATGGTGAGGATTTTTGTTTTCTTTACATTGAGATGCACTCCATACCGAAGGCTGTGCTCTTTGATCTTCATCAGTAAGTATTTTAAGTTCTCTTCACTTTCAGCTAGCAAGGTTGTAGCATCTGCATATCGCAGGTTGTTAATGAGTCTTGCTCCAATCCTAATGCCACGTTTGTCTTCATGTAACCCAGCTTCTCAGATGATTTGCTCAGCAGACAGGTTGAATAAGTGTGGTGAAAAACCTGGCACGCACTTTTCCTGATTTTAAACCCATCAGTATCACCGTGTTCTGTTTGAACGACTGGCTTGTCTGTGTACAGATTTCTCATGAGCACAGTCAAGTGTTCTGGAATATTCATTCTTCTAAATGTTGTCCATATCATCTTATGATCCACACAATCAAAAACCTTTGCGTAGTCAATAAAACCCAAGTAAACTTGTTTCTGGTATTCTCTGCTTTCAGCCAAGATCCATCTGACCTCAGCAGTGATTCCACATCTTCTTCTGAATGTGGCTGGAATTTCTGTCAATTCCTTGTCTATATACTCTTGCAGCTGTTTTGTTTTTTATTTTTCTTTAATTATCTTGAGTAAAATTTTACTCGCATGTGATGTTAATGATCCTGTTAGATGATTTCACCTTTCTTTGAAATGGGCACAAATATGAAAGTGAGTGCCTCCAATGCCACATCAGTTTGTTGAAAGATTTCAATTTGTATTCTATCAATTCCTGGAGCCTTGCGTTTTTTTACCAGTTCCTTCAGTGCACCTTGGACGTCTTCCTTCAGTACTTAATCATGGCTGTCTCTTGAAATGGTTGAACTTTGACCATCTCTTTTTGCTCCAGTGATTCTGTGTATTCTTTCCATCTCCGTTTGATGCTTTCTGCATCATTTAATATTTTGTCCATGGAATCCTTCAGTATGTCAAGTTGCAGCTTGAATTTTTTCCTTCAGTTCTTTCAGCTTGGGAAATGCTGAGCGTGTTCTTCCCAATTGGTTTTCTAACTTCAGGTTCTTGCACATTTCATTATAATACTTGACTTTGTCTTCTCAAGCTGCCCTTTGATATAGTGCACACCATGTGGCATGGAGCTGGTGAGTAAGCACTGGACTGCTAACCATAAAGTCAGCAGTTCACAACACCCACCAACCGCTCCTCTAGAAACCTGGTGCGGGGTTTATCGGCACTTGAGAACAGCAGTCTTGGCTAGAGGACCACAATCCTGGTGGGTGGAGGACATTGGTAGGCACCATCTTGCATCAGTGGGTCTCCTTCATGGATCAGGGGATGCCAGCTTGGGTTGGGGTGACACAGAGCCCCTGTAGTTACATACTGAGGCTGGATCCGCACAGGAAGCACAGGCAGTGGGGGAATGAGGCAGGAATAGTGTCGACACTCCCCTTCTCTGGTCTTTGGGACCTTGAGGATGAAGCCACACTGAGATGTTAGCTTCCGAACAGAAACTCATGCTATTCACATCCAGGGACCCCAAGTTTGGCAGAAACACTGAGGTCCCAGCCGTGCTTAGCTGCAGTCTGTATGCCAACATGCGCCCCCTTCTGTGTGTCAACAGAATTCCATTCCACATCAGAAAACACCACCAGACCTGCTCACTGTTCTCAGTCCATGCTCTGAACCCCGCTTTACAAGCCAACGTTACAGCGCCAGACATCACTCAGAAGTCACCCCGATGCACCCTGTCACTCTCTGAGCCCCAGTTGTTGTTGTTAAGTCTGTTCTAGCTCATAGTAACCTTGTGTAGGGCTTCCAAGGAGCAGCTGGTGAGTTTGAACCGCCGACCCCTAGAAACATCTTACCTTGTGTGTCATTCTCCTTTGTTGTCGTTAGGTGCTATCGAGTCAGTACCAACTCAGAGTGCCCCTATGCACAACAGAACGAAACACCGCCTGGGCCTGGGCCAACCTCACAATGAGCCCATTGATGCTGCCACTGTGCCAATCCATCTCGTGGGGCTGTAATAGAAACACCACAAGGGGCGCTTCAGTGGACGCAAGTTTCCTCACAGTGGAGGAGGCTGGACATCTGAATTCAGGGCCTTAGTGGTAGCCTCTCCCCATGGGCCCCCGGGGAAGGTCCTGTGTTGGCTCTAGCCATATTCCTGACTCAGTGGGGATCGAGCTCCATGTGTCCTCCCCATGCGGATGCTCGCTTCTCCATTTGCCCAATCTGTTCTTTTTCTATCTCTCTCTTCAACTTGCCCTAATGGGGCCTCATGAACATAACAAAGGAAACGCTTTTCCCAAATGGAGCACATTTTGTGGGGCAAGGACCCCAGTTAAATCCAGAGCCACATATTTATCAACAGAGGCATCTCTGAGAAAGATCTTTAGGGGAGGGGAGTATTGGAGATGGCCAAGTGATCAGATGGGTTTTGATGGAAAGTATTCAGCAAACATAACTTCTGCACGCCCTGCACTGAGATGGGAGATTGGGGCATCAAGTTGGAATCAATCTCTGCCATTTTGTAGCTTCAGTCACTGGGGGAGAAAGAGAAATCAGTTAAAGGGTGGTAGATTTGATAAAACAAACTGGGGGTATCCAATATGGGGGGTAGATGTGTCGGAAGACATCCCCTAAGAAGAACAAGGCTCGCGCTTCCTGCTGACACAAATCCCCCAATAGAAATTCAGTTCAGGTGTCTTGGTGTGGCGCTGTAGGATAAGCACTGGACTGCAGGGTCGGTTTGAACCATTAGGTTGGCTGTTCAAACTCACCAGCGGCTCCTTGGAAACCCTATGAAGGGTCGCTGTGAGTTGGAACCAACGCAATAGCACCTAACCAACAACAACTGAGAGTTAGGTGATGGGCTGCTCACTGCAAGGTCAGTGGTTCAAACCCACTAGCCGCTCCACAGGAAAGAGACGAGGCAGTCTGTTTCCATAGAGTTGGCTGCCTGGGGAACCCGAGGGAGCAGTGCTACTCTATCCTTTAGGGTCATTGTGAGTTGTGTGCATGCAAAGCCGGTGCAGTATGCAGGGAGATATTCCAGCAGGGGCTGCTAGGGTGTACTGTCGGCGGTGAAGTCAGTTACTCCAACCAAGGTGACCTGGGAACGGGAAAAACAGAGAGGTCAGCTCACACTTGTGACACTCAGAGGTGCCAGCCTTAGTGACATTGTGGGATCAAGGGGGCCACCTGAAGGGGCAAGTGGTTCAGCGGAATCCAAGCTTGAAGCTCTAAAGGGACCTGGGAGAGCTGACTCCGGGGCTGAACGGGAATGGGTGGCAGGACCAGGAAGGGTGCCTCTGCGTCTGTAATCTCCTTCCCACGGGTCTTCCCCTCCTGAGCCATGGGTGGTCAAGCTTCCGCCCGCTCCCCCATCAGACCCATGAAGCCCCGCTTCCATGATTGTGCTCTCTCTGTAGACGTTCTTGCTGTCCTGCTGACAGACGTCCTTTTGCTGTTACAAGAAAAGGACCAGAAATACGTCTTTGCTTCCGTGGTAAGTTTCCCATCCCGTCCCGTCTCCTGGGCAGGCAAGGCTGAGGGAGGGGGCAGTCAGGGAGCAAGAACTGCTGGAAGTGAACATCCATGAGTGGTCCTGACGAGCAGCGGGGCAGACAGCTCTGGGCCTGGCGTCCTTTTCTGGTTTAGTCTCAGTGTCTCCCTGGTTCTTCCCCTTGCAAGCGCACATGGTACTCAAGGGCCCACGAGTCCCCGATGCCCCTCCCTGCCCAGTGGCTACTGCTCCATGTCACGTCCAGTCCATGCTGGGGTCTGTCTGGGGCTCCATCTGCCCAGCCTCGCCCAGCCCTCTGTCCCTCCCACCCCCCGAGGCTTGCCAACCTTCCCCAGTCACCCTGGGTGACTCCATGCCCTTCCTGCCTCCAGCAGTGCAGACCCACCCATAAAGGAGGTGATGGGCCCCACTCTAAGTGGACACCAGCTGGCACCTTCAAGAACCTTGCTTTCCAGGTCCACCTTGAGAGAAAGGCAGTCTTCATGACTAAACTGTAGAGCTGAGGTTCAGGGATAGCATTCTCACCTTCCAGGTGGGAGACCCAGGTTCGATTCCCAACCATGCACAGCCACCGCCTGTCTGTCCATCTGTTTTTGGAGGCTTGCATGTTGCTAGGATGCTGGACAGGCTTCAGCGGAGCTTTTAGACTAAGGTGTATGAGAAAGAAGAAAGGCCTAGAGATCTTCTAAAAATCAACCAATGGAAAACCCTATGGAGCGCAACGAGCCGATTCACAGCCAGTCCTGGGGGTGACGCGGGGCCAGGCAGTGTCTGTTCCTACACTTGGGGTCAGGGGCCAACTCAACAGCAGCAGAATCAAGTGAGTCTCTCCGCTGCATAGAACAGCTGCCCTAGGAGTTTCCCAGCTTCCCCTGTTCCTGGGCGAAGCTGTCTGGTTGAATGGTTGTCTCATGTGGTTGCTAAGAACCAATGTAGACCAGTGAAGACCTGCTGCTGTCCTTACAGCTACGTGATAGCAGGCCTGACTCACGGCGGCCCCGTGCACAGCGGGACAAAGCCCCTTGTGACCCACAGGGTTTCCGCAGAATGATTTCCGAAAGCCAACCACCAGGCCTTTCTTCTTAGTCTGTCTGAGTTTGGAAGCTCTGCTGAAACCATCCGGAAGCACAAGAGCCTCCATAGACAGGCTGGCGGTGACTGCGTATCAGGCGCATGTTGTCATTATTAAGTGCCTTCAAGTCAGTTCCATAGCAACCCTGTATAGGGTTTCAGAGGTGCGGCTGCTGAGTTTGAACCACCGACCCTGTGTTCCAGTGCTTATCCTCCAACGCCTCACCAGGACCTACTGAGGGCAAGAATTCCACCACTGAACCACAACGACCTCTCTTATGACCACCGCGTCTTCCTTCCCACTCCCAGCCCCCAATGCGGAAGGTTCCTGCTCTGGGTCAGCTTAAGTGGGCACATGGCTTCCACACTCTGCCCCAGACCCATGACTCCACTGCCACATGGGTGAGGTGGGATTAGAGTGACCCTCCGCACCTGTCTACCTGAACAGGACTCGAAGCCGCCCATCGTATCTCTACAAAAACTCATCGTGCGGGAGGTGGCCAATGAGGAGAAGGCCATGTTTCTCATCAGTGCCTCCCTGAAAGGGCCGGAGATGTATGAGATCTACACGGGCTCCAAGGAGGAGCGGAACACCTGGATTACCCACCTCCGCAGGGCTGTGGAGAGGTGGGTGCCAGCCTGCTGCCTGCTGCTCCCGCCTTGCTGCCCCCTCCCCTTCCTGGCTCCTGGGCCCCCACCTCTCGGAGCACCCTTTATATGGTTCCCAGGGAGGGCTGTCCATCAGTCAGCTAGGATATTGGTCCATCCATCCATTGGTCATTGGTCAGTGGCTCATCAGCCCACTAGTTCATCAGCCTCTTCCTCCAGGTTAAGGTTGAGCGTTCTCAACAGCCCTGTCACTTATGGCCTGGCACGTTTGGTGCCCACTGCCACCTCTTGGGGGCTGGGAAATGTTAGTGGACTTCTCTCTCCTCTCCCTTGTCTCCCCTGCACCACGGACAAGCTAAACCGCTCACCAAATCCAGGGCATTCCTGGTTGCGCAGCTAACCCTTCAGCGTCTGTTCTGAGGCCTCCCCTCTCCCCTGCAGCTGTTCGGACGAGGAGGAAGTCCCCTTCATTGAGGCTGAGGAGGAAAGGAAGGTGTTTGAGGCCCGGGCCATGAGACTAAAGGACTTCCAAGGTAAGGAGGGTCGGCTAGGAGCTCCGTGCCTGCCTGCCCAGCCCTGAGCCACGTTCACAGGACAGGATGACACATACCACCCCTTAGATAGCAAGCCTGCCCCCAGCACAAAGCCTGCCCAGATGATGAGGCGCTGGCTGTGGACTGCCTGAGCTTCAGAGCCCCTCCTGAACCCAGTTATTCATCCACACACCACCCCCACCCTGTCCTCGCTCAGTCCTCTTGACACAGGGTCCCAGCTCCTATCTACAAGCTCTTGAGCTAGATGAAGCTACACCTGAAACAAAACTGGCAGCGTCCCTTTCGAATCAGGAGCAGAGCGAGGCTGCCCACTCTCACCACGATTATTATCATTCCAGAAATTTCAGCTCGGGTAGCAAGGGGCAAGACAGAACTCAGAGGGGACCCCTGGAGTGGAGACGGTGGTCGGAAACCCCATAGATTCCAGGGCAGACTTGCTGGGACTAGTGAGAGAGCTCAGTCATTCTGTGAACTTGGTGTGTATATACGAGCCATAAACACCACGAGCAACGTGAAATGTATTCATTCCCCGTCCCAGCAGCAGGAAAAAAAAAAATTTTTTTTTTAAATAAAATCTCAAGACCTGTGGGAAGGCGTTAAAGGAAGAAAACCTTTATCTAAAAGGTCTAAGCTAAGAAAACTGTTAGAAACCAGTTGCTGTGGCGTCATCACCAACCGATAGCGCCCCCTTGTGCTCCAGAGTAGAACTGCACCCTTACTGGTTGTCCGTGGCAGGTTTTCCAGGAGGAGGTTTTCCATAGCTCCTCTGAGTGGACGCGAGCCTCCAGCCTTCTGGTGAGCAAGCGAGTGCGTTCACAGTTGGCCTCATCCTTGCCCCGCTGTTTGGATCCTCAGCCTGGGCCCCCGTCCTGGCCCTCTGTTAAAGTGTCCTGCGGAGCCTGTCACGGGACCATACCCTGAGCAGCTCTGTAAACAGAAATGTACTGTCTCTGAGTTCTGCGGGCCGGACGCGCCACATCCAGGTGTAAGCTCTACCGAGAATTCTGAGGGAGAGTGTGTCCATGCCTCTCATAGTTTCTGGATGTTGTTTGTAAGCGCCAACCCTGCGATTGAGTGCTGATCCTACAGCACTACACTGGGGACCCACAACCCTTGGCTTTGTACTTGCCTCGCTCCAATCTCTGCCTCCATCTTCTGTGTGTCTGTCTCTCCTTCCTTCTGTCATTTATAGGGACGTTACTCAGATAATAACGTAGTGGTTACGAATCAGGCTGCTAACCTCAAGGTCCGCAGTTCAAAGCTACCAGCTGTTCCATGGGAGAAAGATGAGGCTTTCTGCTCCTGTAAAGATTTACAGCCTCAGAAACCCTATGCAGGGTCGCTATGAATCGGAACCAACTCCACGGTACTTAACAACAACTCAGATAGTGGGATCCTCATGTGGCGCTGTAGGATAAGCCCTGGACTGCCAGCAGTAACGGCTTAAACCTACCAGCCGCTCTGCGGAAACCTTATACAGGGTCGCTATGAATTGGAACTGACTCATTGACACTTAACAACAACTCACATGGGGGGTCCTGGTGTGGCACTGTGGGATAACCACAAGGTCAGAGGTTCAAACCCACCAGCTGCTTCTCAGAAACCCTATATAGGGTCGCTATGAGTTGGAATCAACTCAGTGGCACTTAACAACTTGCATAGGGGTGGGTCCCACCCTACACCTGTCAGACCTCATACTAAGCAATTCTATCAGGGGCTAGGCTGTCAACATATGTTTTGGGGGGACACCAGTCCGTAACCCTCAGATCCCAGGAAGCTTCTGAGGCCAGGGCCAGAGGTGTGTTCGGGAAGTGTCTCCCTCACGGCAGGCTGATTGCTCTCCCAACGCCAGAGCTGCTGTGCAGGCCGGGTCAGTGAGATGGCCAAAGTCCAGTCCCACCTGAAGGGGCCCAGTGCCCGACGCCCACCCTGCACTTTCCCCACAGAGCGCCTGAGCATGAAAGACCAGCTGATCGCGCAGAGCCTCAGCGAGAAACAGCAGATCTTCCTGGAGATGTCGGAGCTGATTGGGCCGGAGGACTGTGCCCCAGGGCCTCCGACCAGGCTCCTCTTCCGTGGAGGGGACCCCACCGAGAACCTGCAGGGGGAGCTGATCCTCAGGTCCGCCATGACAGAGAGTAAGTGCATCGCCGGGACCAGACCCACGTCTCGCTGGGGGACATGTCCAGGAGCCACCCTGTCCCTGGTGGCCACATCCCAGCCCAGCCTCCCTACAGAGCAGACGTGCATTATCACACATTCGACTGTCTCCCCACTTTCAGGGAGTCCCTGAACTTCCTGGTCATGTCCCCAGAGAAATCACACCCAAACAGGGTGGGTCCCTGGGGAATGCAAACGGTTAAACGATTCCCTGCTATTCAGAAAGTCAGTGGTTCAAACTCTCCCAGAGAAACCTCCAAAGAAAGGCCTTGGCCATGAAACCCCTGGAGTGCAGTTCTACTCTGCACACACAGGGCGGTGCTAACTCACAGCAGTAGCATGCCTGCTTTAGGTCCCAAGAGTGGCAGATTGTCTGCCCCCTGAGGAAGGTGGTAGTTCACACACACCTGACAGCACCACGGAAGAAAGGCCTGGCTATCCTCTGCCATTGAGATTGTCTGTGGAGTTCTACCTCACACACGGGGCCCACTCAGTCTATGGGGTTCTGCCTCACACACGGGGCCCACTCAGCCTGTGGGGTTCTCCTTCATACACGGGGCCCACTCAGTGTGTGGAGTTCTACCTCACACACGGGGCCCACTCAGCCTGTGGAGTTCTACCTCACGCACGGGGCCCACTCAGTCTGTGCGGTTCTACCTCACACACGGGGCCCACTCAGTCTGTGCGGTTCTACCTCACACACGGGGCCCACTCAGTCTGTGGAGTTCTACCTCACACACGGGGCCCACTCAGTGGAGTGAAGCACCACAGCACATCTGGTACCCACCAGAAGTGGGCAGTGCTTTCTGAGCACCAGGTGTATGCAGGTGCTATATCTCGGGGGAGGAGGGGCAGAGGGGGGGCCTGGCACTCAGGTGGTCTCCTTCCCTGGGGCACCACATGGCTCTGGGCTGTGTTGGGCACCCTCAGCCAACAGTCTGCAGTTGGAGGGACTACAGTTCTCCCTAGCAGGCTTGCTGGCCCTACTCCATCCACAATAAGGGGTTCTTAGCCTTTCCCTGCAGTATACAGGGTAAAGAGAACAGGCCCATGGAGCTCAGGACTCCGTTCTGTCCCGTTCCCATCTGCCCCTACTTCACTCCCCAAATGACCGCTGTTCTGGCCCACTGCCTAAGCCTGGAGGGTTCTCTCCATCTGGTCCACACTGGAGGACCACCCTGACTGCCAAGTAGCATGCGGTTTCCCCAACCCACTCCTCTCAGCGGCTCCCTGACCTTGCCCCACCTGTGTTCCCTCCCAGACCCCCTGAGGCAGAGCCAGCAGGCTGGTGCCCGGTTCCCAAGGCCGCGTAGACCTGTCATCTAGACAGGAATTGGCACATGCTTGTGGCAGGCCTGGGTGAGGGCGCACACCCCCAGTGGGATTGAAATCCTACATCAGAGGCCGGGGGCCAGCAGCACAGGCTCTGCACTACCCTCACCCCTCTGTCCACCCCACCCCCCCAGTCCAGGACATCCAGAGTCTACTGTGTAAGCGACTGGGCAGTCCCAACGGCCAGGTGGAGGACGGCAGTGGCCCAGGCTCCCTGCCCCGCAGGGCAGAGACCTTCGGGGGCTACGACAGCCCCACCAGCAAGAGTGAGTGGCCACCCCCACAGAGTATCTCGGAGAGGAGGCTGGCCCCCAACCTGTCTTCCCTGCATGCCCCGCTCCCTGGGTTAGCACAGGCTGGGTCCCAGGCCTGGGCCGGGGCACCTGTGCACTTCAACACGCTCCCTGTGGTTTTCAGATGGCAGTTTCAAGAAGAAAGCCTGCAGCGGTGACCCTAGGCTCTTCGACTGGAGAGGCCCCACCAGCAGCCCAGATGCAAAACCTGGAGACACGCTGGGAGCCCCCGAGGAAGCCCCCCAGGTAGTATGTGACCACCCTGGGCAGGCACACGGGGGTGGGGGTGGAGGGTGTCAAGCTCAGTAACCGTGACAAGTGTGGGCAGCCTTTGCTGCTAGTCTGGTCCCCGCCATGTGGTGGCTGCCAGCAAGTCGCAGCTCCGTTGCTTGATAGTGTCCCTGGCGTCCAGATTAGTGTCTTACCATGCCGCTCCTAAAACCCCGGCTGTGGGGGGCCATCTTCCCTCCACATCTCTCTTATGAGGAAAGTGGTGTACAGGGTTCAGACCACCCTCCTCTAATCACATCTGTAAAACCCCACATCCAAACCCAGGGTCCAGGACTCAGGAGAGAGGCCCCGGGGCAGCAGGCAGTGCCCGGAGGGACAGACAGGTGACGCATGTCAGAAGGAGCTCCTGGCCATCAGTGCAGGTGTTGGGAGCCAGCCTCTCTCCGTCTCTGAGGAGCCCCACTGCCCACCTGTGCACCTGCCCAGCGTCAGGGTCCAAGGCAGGGTGGCCTGTAGGTGGGGTGGGAGCAGGTCAGGGCTGGGTGCTGGATCACATACAGAGCTGCTCTCTCAAGTCTGTGGCTCTTTAGTCACCCCAGACCACCCCCCTGGGGTTCAGGAGGGCCCTGCAGACATCGCTGTCCATGCTGACAGCCTCAGATGGCCCCGGGTCCCCATGGTAGACGGAGCCTGTGTCTAAGTAATGGTAGTCAGATTGCTCTCAAGCTACTTTCCGCCTGATACACACTTTGTGGTTTTTGCCCCCACCCCCCACTGTGTCTCCACAGATACCAGGTGCAGACGGTGGCCCCTGTGGCCTGGAATTGGAGGTGGGTGCTCGTCCCCCCAGCCCCCAGCTCCTTAGGACCACCCACCACATGGGGGTACAGGGAACAGCTGGTCTCTCTCTCCACAGCTTGTCCAGCGGGTCCAGACGCTGTCCCAGCTGCTCCTCAGTCTCCAGGTGAGGGTTCCAGGAAGCTGCTGACATTGGGGTGCTGAGTTCGGCTGGAGCCTGAGGAAGGGAGGGTGTGGCTGTCCCGGCGTTTCCGCCACCCACTGCCCGGCGCCCGCTTCCCCAGGTGGTCATCGCGCGGCAGGACAGCTTCGTGGAGATGCAGCGGGCCAGCATCCAGGAGCAGGAGAAGCAGCTACGGCTCCAGCAGCAGTCGACACGGGGGAGCCAGCTGCTGGAGCAGGAGCGGCAGCGTGCCTTCGAGAAGCAGCGCGAGGAGCTGGCGGGCGCGCAGAAACTGCAGGACCAGCAGCGCCGGGAGCAGCAGCGCCGGGAGCGGGAGCTGGCGCGGCAGCAGGAGGAGTTGGAGCTGGCGGCCGCAAGGCTGCAGGAACGCGAGGTCGAGGCGCAGCAGCTACAGGAACAGCTGGGCCACGAGCGCGCCGAGCTGGAGCATCAGCGGCAAGCCTACCAGCATGACCTGGAGCGGCTACGGGAGGCCCAGCGCTCCGTGGAGAAGGATCGGGAGCGCCTGGAACTGCAACGGAGGCTCAAGAAGCCAAACGTGGCGCCAGCAACTGTGGCGGCATTGTCTCCCGAGGGGACTGCTGAAGTGCGTGGGGGTGGGGGTGGGGGCTTGTCTGAGTGCATGGAGATTGTGTGTGTGAATGAACACGTGTGAATGTGCGTGGAAGAAAAGTATATGTGTTTCGGCGAATGACCGACTGCTTCAGACCCAGGGACTGTCTTCCTACTAGAGGCCAGGTGACCCACAGCCACCGGGGGAGGCAGGTGGGTGAGGTCTGTGTCTCCACAGCTGAGGCGCCATAACGCTGGCAGACCACCCTAGTGTCATTTGAAGAGCAAGACCCCATGTCCCGGCAGGCACTGCCTGACAATGGTCTATTTTTCAGGCGCAGCCCCTGAGCTACCCTCCCAGCTACAACGGGGATGGACAGGAAGGGCCGGCGGCGCCCAAAGTGCCGGGGGTGCGAATGAGCACAATGCTGTCCGGCACCGGGCCTGAGCACGCAGAGCGCCCCGAGGTGGCCCGTCGGGACAGCGACGTGCCTATCCAGCTGCTCAGCACCACCAACCAGGCCCAGCGGCAGACAAATGTGCAACAGCAGATCCCCACCAAGCTGGCCACCTTCACCAAGGGTAGCAAGGAAAAAGGGAGCAAGAACAGGGGCTCCCAGCGCTGGGACAGCTCAGGTGAGTCCAGGGCCGGCCCTGCTCCACGCCCCAGAGCCAGAAGTGTGGTCCACAGCCCTTCCCTCCTCTGACTGGGTCCGGCCATGGGCTGCCGGTTAGGTGGACACTGGAGAGACTGACATGGTGAGGCCGTCCTCTATGTGGAATTTCGGCTTCCAGAAGCCAAGGCCTTCCTGGCCTTGACCCTCAGACGGTGGGACGATGTGTGGACAAGGCAGAGAGAAAAGCCAACTAGAGCCTTGAAGAATGGCATGGCCCAGCCCCGAGCCCCCCAGAGAATCTGAGGAAGGGCATCACATGTTTTTAGCACCAGGACTGTCACCGCAGGGCCCGTTTTTCTTCGAAAGAGCGCTCTTCCCATATGCACACCACTTGCTCTTCTGCTTTTAGACAGCCTTGAGAATGGGAAGCCCCTCACCCTCTGGGTCAGTTCTCATTGGTCAGGTGGCCGGTGGAGTGGGCGGAGTTTGACCCACACTCAGGCTCCACCCACCCCCCCAGCCTCCTCCACTCCCCTGAGACCTTCCGTTCTCCTCTCAGCTTCAGCCCCGCCCAGTCTCCACCCCGCTCTCAGCCTCTGCCCTCCCAGTCTACGCCCCCTCAGTCTCCGCTCCCCTCTTCCAGGCTCCTTCGACCTGAAGAAGCAGCAGATGCTTTTCAGCAAGTTCAAGGGAAAGGATGACAGTACCTCACGTACCCGCCACCCACTAAGCCCTGTCCTGCCCAGCGTGCCACCCCTAGGTGAGACCAGAACCAGCGATGGGGGGGGGCACCCCAGTTTCCAGGACTGCTGACAATCTGCGCATCCCCTCTCTTCCAGAGCCTGGTCCCCCCAGCCCTGCACCTGCTGACTGCCCACCTGAGCGGGTCTCCCCAAGGCCGGTGGGGGATGCATCCTTATCCCCTGGGCCGCCCGTCACCCCTCTCCCCACCGAAGAGGAATCCTGCAGAGAAGACGTCATCTTCTTCTAGAAGGGCGAGGCTCCCCATCCCCCAGTCTGCCTATCCTCCTGCCCTTGGGGGCCTCCGTGGCCCTGCTCTCCCCGCAGCACCCCACCTCGGCAACTGCCCGCTGGGCCGGCTGTTGGTGCCCTGCGGCCCGTGTGCCCGGCTCTTCCCATCGGGAGTCCGTCGTGCCTGCGGAACTTTCTGCACCTTTACTTCTCAAAAGAAAAGTGTTTCATTAAGGGTTGAGCCAAAGCTGAGCACGAGCTGTTTGACAGCGCTCAGTCGCCCCCGTGGCCAGGCCCTGGGGGAGGGGACTCAGCCTGGCCCGTGGGGTCTGAGCAGCGACCCCAGGAGATGCCGGGTTACTGTCAGGGCAGCAGGAACGGAACACATGCGGGAGGATGCACGAGAGCCCCTGTCTCCTGGCAGAGACCTCCCATTGTGGGTGCATCATGGATCTCAAAGTCGGGTGTCGCCTAGCCCTGTTGTGGTATCAAGGTGGTGGGCGCTGCTTTGCCAAAGTGCCCACAACACACACTTCTGGGGATAGTGGCCCATTCAGCTGGGGCCAGGGTTGCCCCTAGGGCCAAAATTCCAGGATGATAGGCCCAAGCCTACAGTCTGCACCCTGCCCATGGGTGCTGGGTGTTTTAAAAAATATCCATTGGTCAGGGTGTTGGGGGCCCATGTCCCAGCCTTGCCTGGCCTAAACTTGGATTTGGAGGCCTCCTCTGAGCCCGAGTAGAGCCCCTCCTGAGACTCAGCTGAGGCCTGAGGCCAGGTCCATCTGAGCTGCCATACCCAGGGGCCTGGAGGGGGTCGGGGTGTGGAGCACCAACATGCCACAGAGCTTCATCTCATCAGAGAATGTTTGCCTGAGGGTCTGGCCCTCTGTCAGACCCAGGAGGGGACCCATCTGGTCTGCAGCCATGTCGGGCCATGGGTCAGACACTGGTCAGCTTCCCATGCATCTTGGACAAGGAACTGAAAGCAGCATTCCCAACCCTGACCTGTCCCCAGGTTCTTCCTGGCCCCCAAAGAACCTCTCCACCCCCCTCCTGTGAGGTCCCCCGTCCTGTCGGGGCTGTGGAAGCATGTCCTTCCAGCTTGAGGGGCAACCTGCCCACTCAGAGCTCCCTTGACCCATCTCCCCATCCTTGTTCTGTTTTTGTACTGAAATGTGTCGGAGCACTTTAGAGTTGACTTTCATACCTGTTTGGTCATGGAGAAAACATTCCAAGAGACTCGGACCTCCCCTGAAACCTTAGTGAGTTGAGGCAGTTCCCAGGCCTCGAGCCCACGCCTTCATCCGCCAGGCCCCCGGCTGGCCCTTGTAGACTCTAATCGTATTTGTCAAGTCCATGGTTGAGTAAATGTTAGCGTTTCTGTTGACCTGTGCACTCTGCCTATTGTGACCATGATCTTTGTCCACCAAGGGATGGTTTTCACAACAATGATGACAGCTTCCTCCTGCGAACTTCTGGCTTGATTCTAGCAATAAAAGTGTCTAGAAGGAGCTCTGCCTGAGACACTCTTGGGCTTTTGCTTTGAAATCACCTCCGGTACAAATGTGGGCTGGTGGTGTGTGCAGGTGGGAAGGTCTTCCTCCACACATGCCCCACTGCTATGACAAGGCCTGGGGGTGCCTGATGACAGGCTGGGGCCACATGATAGCAGTACCGAGCAGGTTCTGGGGATGACCACTGCCACATCAGGTCTGCAACAGACCCTCCCTCCACCCAACAGTCACCACACCACAGGCCAACCTTGAAGGAGACCCCATGAAGGGCTGGTGGGGTAGCCACTTCTGGGTGGGGCAGGGGTGCCCTGTCAGAACACTCAGTCTGAAGCAGGTGACGGCTGCAGTTCCCTGACTAATGAGGTCCCTGTCCTGAAGCCATGGAGATTAATACCCAACTCCATGCAGAGGCGACCACCACCTCCCTGTCCTGTCCTGTCAGAGCCAAGTACACCCATGCCCCACCCCTGGCTCAGCCCCCCAGCCCCCCAGCAACTGTTACACTGCCCCACACTGCAGTCTGGGCTGATTGGAGCACCAGGACCCTGTGGGAAGGGATTCTTTAGGGTCTTTTGTTTACTTATGAGGCCAGTTACTGACTCATGACTTTGCCCCCAGTGTTTCATAGTGAACGATGTGTGTACCCCCAAAATATGTGGGCTCCCCAGCCCTGTACCTGAGAATGGGGCCTTTTGCTATGCTAATGAGTACATAAACCAAATCCCTTCTGAGTTATAAAAAGAGCAGGCTAGACACACAGACACACAGGGAAGAGGAAGATGCATCTGCAAGCCCAGGAGTGCCAAGGGTTGCCTCAGCTGCTGCAGTAGCCACACCTGATTTTTGCCTTTGAGTCTCAACTGTCAGAAAATAAATTCCTGTTCCTTAAAGCCACCCCCTTATGGGTTGTGTGCTATGGCAGCAGTACATGCATAACCCAGACAGACCACCCGGGCTCTCTGAACAATATAAACTTACTGCTGTTTCACAGTGACCATATAGGACACGATAGAACGAATTTAAAGGATTCCCAAGACTAAACCTCTACAAAGGCAGACTTCCTAATCTTTCTTCCATGGACTGGCTGGTGGATTCGAACTGCTGACCTTTCAGTTATCAGCCCAACGTTTAACCCCACTGTGCCATGAGGACTGTTAGCTAGAGGACTGAAAATGTAACGAGAGGTACAGGTAAAACTGGAAATGTAGTTATTGAAGTTCATATATCCAAAATAGTACCTGGAGTCCTGGTGTGGCGCTGTGGGTTAATGCGCCAGACTGCAAAGCCGTTTGAACTGCAAGGCCCGCGGTTCAAGCTCACCAGCTGTTTCTCGGAAACCCTATACAGGGTCGCTATGGGTCAGCACTTTACAACAAAACGCTACCTGGACAACATATCAGTATGGAAATGATTGAGGTTGGTGTGTACACAGCACACCTCTGCTCAAGTCGGTCACTTTTCCAGTGCTTAGGAGCCACACGTGGCTAGTGGCCACCATGCCACCAGCCCTGGGTTCACTGAGGTGTGGGATCTTGGGGGTGGACTCCACAGAGTAGGCTGGTAGGAGGACCTGGAAACAACCAACTTCCACCACTTCCACAAGGAGCCAGCGGGGGGCGCAGGATCCCTTCCCAACGGAAAAATTCAACTCCTTTAGGAGCCTTTCCTGGCGTCCAACAGGAAGTAGCTGCAGTGAAGCGCCGTTGAGGAAGACTTCTAAGCGACTAGAAGTCATAGCGACCCTGTATAGGGTTTCGGAGGACCGGCTGGTGAGTTTGCAGTTCAGATCAACCTATCCTGGGACGCAGAATTGTGCTTTGGGGTCCTGGCCAGTATCAGAGCATACATAGGTCGTTTGGCTGCGCTTCTTATGGGAGCAGATTGACAGGTCTTTTTTCTGTATCACTACAAGCTCTGGGAGCGTAGTGGTTACGAATCGAACTGCTAACCTCAAGACGGCAGTTCGAAACTACCAGCTGTTCTGCAGGAGAACGATGAGGCTTTCTGTTCCCGTAAAGATTTGCAGCCTTGGAAACCCTGT